TAAAAAATGAGAGAAAATATTCACAAACTATGCATCTAACAAAGGATTAATATCCAGAGTCTATTAGGAACTTAAACAAATCAACAAACAAAGAAACAAATAACCCTATCAAAAGGGGGGCAAAGGACATAAACAGACAATTCTCGGAAGAAAACATACAAGTGGCCAAGAAACATAAGGGAAAATGTTCAACATTACTAATCATCAGAGGAACGCAAATCAAAACCACAATAGGATACCAACAGCAGAATGGCTACTAATAAAGCCAAAAATAATAGATGTTGGCAAGGCTGCGGAGAAAAGGGAACACTTATACACAGTTAAGACCCTATAGAAAGCAGTTTAGAGATTTCGCAATGAATTAAAGACAGAACTGCCATTTGACCCAGCAATCCCATTACTATTTACCCAATGGAAAATAAATTGGCCTACCAAAAAGATATCTGTACTTATGTTTATCATAGCACTATTCACAATACCAAAAACATGGAACTTAGTTGCCCATCACTCGTAGACTGGATAAAGAAAAATGTAGCATATATACACCATGGAATACTACACATTCACAAAACAGAACAAAATTATATCCTTTGCAACAACATGGATGCAGCTGGAGGCCATTATCCTAAGCAAATGAACAGAAACAGTAATCCAAATACCACGTTTTCTCTTATAATTGGGAGCTAACCCCTGGGTACACATGGGCATAAAGATGGAAACAATAGACACTGAGGTCTCCAAAAGGAGGGATGGAGAGAATGGGGCAAGGGCTGAAAAACTTTCTGTTGAATACTACTATGCTTACTATATGGGTGACAGGATCAATAGAAGCCCAAACCTCAGCATCATGCAACATATCCTTGTAACAAGCCTACTCGTGTATCCCCTGTATCTAGAATTAAAACTAAAAGAAAAAGCCTTAAGAGATCAGAGACCCTTTGTGTATTCAAGAATTGTGATGGAATATAATACAGACATAAAAACCAATAAAACAACTGAATATGAAGAGATCTATCTCCAAGATATATTATTATATGAAAAAGCAAAGTATAAAATTGTTATATGTTATGCTGTTATTTGCGTTTAAAAGTGGATGGATTTTTTTATATTCTTGCATATGAATATCTCTAGAAGACTACAAAAATGCTGGTACGACTGGTTGTTCTAGAGATGAATAGGAGGGAGGCTTACTTTACACAGTGCATACTTTTCATAATTCTTGAAAGTTTTCCTATGTGTATGTGCTGTTTATTAAAAATAAATATAAAATTAAAAACGTAAAATTGGAATAATTAATGCCAGTGAGACACCCAAATTGTTGATAGAACAATCTTGTGCAAATAGATCCTTTTCTTAACAAGTCATACAAATTTTCAATGAAAGAGGTTTCATTAATGTGTGGATACACTGAAAATTGATGTTACAATAAGCTTGGCTTTCTTCAATAATTGTGGAACAATAATCCTTTTATGAACAGAAGGATTAATGGACAAGTGGATGATACCTGAGGATTCGGAAGTGAGTACACAATCTGAGCGCTACAGTGAATGTATATGCAGTAATTATCCAGCAGACATTGAAAGAATGATAGGATCCCAAAAGTTACTTCTAAGTATTAATATAATGAAATAAAAATTTGAATTTTTCTTCCAAAATAATCCAAACTTTGGTACTATATAGAGTTTTCTCTTCAAAGTTTCAAGTCTCCACTGAGAATCTGTAAGGTAACATTATGAGTCACAAAAAAGTGGTCAGAAATAAATAAGAACATACCAGAAATCTCTTTATATAAAATTATAAGCATGCCAAAAGCCAGCATGACCCTTTTATTTAATGTATTTTAAATAAGAAACACAGTTTATACTAATCATTTGCCCTTGTGAGTCATAAAATGTAAGTTTTAGATGTAATAGGTATGTCATCTAAAAAAGTTTTACCTGATTCAAATTCATACTCCTCATTAATAGAAAGTAAAAAGCAGAGTACAACCTTTGTGTAATCCCCTGGAAATCAGACCTGTTATTAGTCATCCTTGTGTATCACTATTTGCTGTTCAATAGACTTGACACTGATAAAGCATTTATCTGATAATAAAAGCTTTTTATATATTATATGTGTCAGCTTTGTGTAGTTAGTCATATCTGCAATTAACTCTCCTTTACAATAAGCTTTGTGGAAAGATGTGTGAGTATTGGAAACAAAATCAGAACAGGCTGATGTTGTGTGTCATTTTGTAGGCTACTTTGGCTCCAGGAGGAGAAAGGTGCCAGGTTAATACAAAATTGAATATAGCATGATCTTTAATTTCTGAGACATTTACAAGTAAATAACTAGTTTTATATTCACCAGTTCTGCATCCATGGAAATATGAGCTCTTCACTTTGAAAATTCACTCATAATGATGAGGCTACATTCAGTTTTCTCACTTCCTGATGAAGCAGGTGGATCATTGATATGTCTGACTGCACTGAATACTATACCCATTTACAGCAGAGATCTTCCCAACATAAAACTAATCTACTTGGCCTGAAATGAGGCTCTGTCATCCTTACCATTATTAGAATCTTGTTGTAATCAAACAACCCACATACCTTGGAATCTTTACTGCATTCTATGAATTAGTAAATGGGGACTTTCATGGTTTACTCAATTGATGATAAACATTTTACTTTTAGGAAGGATTTTTTGTCAGTCTGCTATTTGTTTTTACTGATCCATGACTATTGTATATATTTATGGGGAACATGTGATATTTTGATACATAAAATAAGGTGTAATGATCAAATCAGGGTAATTGGGATATCCATCACCTTAAACAGTTATCAGTTATTTGGGTTAAAAATATTCTAAATCTTCTCTTCTAACTATTTTGAAATATAAATTATTGATAAAGTTACCCTACCATGCTTTTGAACACTAGAACCTTTCCTTTTAACAGTATTTTTGTACCCATTAACCAAACCCCTCTCAGCCTCTAGCAACCACCATTCTACCTTTGTGAGGTCAACTTTCATTTTAGCTCCCAGAAAAGTTTTGTTCTTTTTGCTAAAAAAACAAAGGTATGAACACATGATATTTGTCATTCAGTGCCTGGCTAATTACAAGTAATATAATGTACCCAGGCTCATCCATGTTGTTGCAAATGACAGAATTTCATTCTTTTGTATGGCTCAATAGTAATCTATTGTATACATATATCACATGTTCTTTATCCATTCATCCACTGATAGATATTTAGGTCAATTCTACATTTTGGCTATTGTGAATACTACTACGATAATCATGAGAATGCAGATATCTCTTCAATATATTAATTTCCTTTCTTTTGGATATATACCCAGTAGTAGGATTGCTGGATCACATGGTAACTCTAGTTTTAGTTTTTTGAGGAACTACCATATGATTTTCCATAATGGCTGTACTAATTTACATTCCTACCAACATTGTACAAGCATTCCTCTTTCTCCACATCCTTTCCAGCATCTATTTTTTGTTTTTAAAAAATAGCCACTTTAACTACAGTGAGAAATCTCACTGTGGTTTTCATTTCCCTGATCATTAATAATGTCTTGAGCATTTCTTCATTTACCAGTTGGCCATCTCTCTGTTCCCTTTTGTGAACTATTTAGATCAATTGCCCATTTTTTAATCTATTTGAGTTTTTCTGCTGTCGAGTTGTTTGCCTTCCTTATATATTCTGCTTATTAATCCCTTGTTGGAAGAGTAGTTTTCGAACATTTTCTCCAATTTGTAGATTGTCTCTTCACTATCTTGATTGTTTCCTTTGCTGTGCAGAATTCCCCAATATGATGCTGTTTTTCTACTTTTGCTTTTGTAAGCTGTGTTTTCGAGGTCTTACCCCAAAAATCATTGCCCCTACCAATGTCCTAAGTGTTTCCCCTATGTTTTTTTTCTAATAATAGTTTCATAGTTCTGGATCTGACATTTAGGCCTTCAACCATTTTAATTGGATTTTGGTATATGGTGAGGTCTAGTATGGGGTCCAGTTTTATTCTTCTGCATATGGATATCCAGTTTTCCAAGCACCATTTATTGAAGAAACTGCCCTTTCCCCAGTGTATGTTCTTGGTGTCTTTGCTAAAAATGAATTGGCTGTAAACACATGGATTTATTTCTGGGCTCTCTATTTTATTCTATTGGTCTGTGTATCTGTTTTTATGCCAGTGCCATGTTGTTTTGGTTACTATACCTTTGCCATATATTTTGAAGTCAGGTAGTCTGATGCTTCCAGCCTTGTTCATTTTACTCATGATTGTTTTAACTATTCACATCTTTTGTGGTTTCAAACACATTTTGAAATTGTTTTTTCTATTTTTGTGAAAAATGTCATTGGTATTTGAATAGGGATTGCATTGAATCTGTAGATAGATCACTTTGAGTAGTATGGACATTTTAACAATATTAAATTATTCCAATCCATGAACCTGGGATATCTTTTCATTTTTGTTGTGTCTTCTTGATTTTTTTCATCCATATTTTACAGTTTTCAATGTAGAAATCTTTCACTTCTTTGGTTAAGTTTATTCTTAGGGTTTTGTTTTCTTTTTCTTTTTTTGTAGCTATTATAAATGGGATTGCTTTCTTGATTTCCTTTTCAGATTGTTCACTGTTGGCAAATGGAAATGCTACTACTTTTTGTATGTTGATTTTCTATTCTGCATCTTTACTGAATTCAAGTATCAGTTTCTAAGCGTTTATTGATAGAAACTTTAGGTTCTTCTAAATATAAGATCATGTCATCTGCAAATAAGGATAACCTGGCTTTTTCTTTTCCAATTTCAATGCCCTTTCTTTCTCTGGCTAAGACTTCCAAAACTATGTTCAATAAAAGTGGTAAAAGTCTTTGTCTTGTTCCATATCTTAGGGGAAAGGCTTTAAAATTTTCCCCATCAGTATGATGTTAACTGTGGATTTGTCATATATAGCCTCTATTATCTTTAGGTATGTTTCTTATTTAGTCAGCTTGTTGAGAGTTTTTATCATGAAGGAATATTGAATTTTTCAAATGCTTATTTTTGGTTCTATTGAGATGATCATATGATTTTTGTCCCTTACTGTGTTAATGCTGTGGTTCCCTATGCTTTGGGGCAAACTCATTGATGTGTTCAACCACCCGTTTCTCAGGGAGTAGGATGTTCCATGGGCTCAGATGCCAAGGACATAGCTGTACTACTGGGTTCAGGCAGTGCCATGAAACTGCAACCCTCTGGGTAGATGTGAAGGGATGTTGGTGGGGTCCTAAGGATGTGGCGGTATAAGGATTATTGGGCCCCAGGGCAGGATGAAAGTCCAGTGTTGGCTGTTCTTTCAAAATGGTACCATTTTGCAGCAGCTTAGGGGCCAGAGGTGGTACTCCTCATACATATTCTCTCTGGAGCAATGTGTAGTCACATGGTCTCCAGGCAGCTCTCTATACTAGATTCAGGAATTGGGAGGATGAAGGCATTTCACAAAAAATTTTATTCATCTCTAATAATTGTTAACCATGTTGTGAGATTTTTTTTTTATAATACTTGAAATTTAGGTCAAGAAAACCTAAGGGATTTATGTGACTCATTAACCAATGGTTAGAATAAAAATAAAATAAGCTTCCTCTGGATTACAACAACAACAAAAAACACTATTTTTCCCATCAGAGTGGTTTCAAAACAGTAAAGAAACACATTGGTAAAGATTCCCTTTGACATAACATAAAGATTGAGATGGGAATAACAGAATTACAAAAAAGATGTTCTTCTGAACTTGAAAGTATGAAAGATCCACAATTAGAGAGCTATATTAGTCATATATCTAGACCACATGTCTGAGAAAAGAAATCCTATGAAAAAAGTGCTTGAACTAATCTAATATCTATAGGTGGACCTGTTACCTCAACTATCATGTATGCAACTGAGTCCTTTGAGCTCAAGCTGCCTTCGAAGCCCTGCAGAAATGTACACTAGTGGTAAAGGAATTAATTTTTCCTACCCACTTCTATGTAATGTGACAATTTCCAGACATCTTTATACAAAGAAGGCTTGTTTGAAGAGGAACAAAGATATGTAAAAAGAAGGGCCAACATTTTTTCTCAAATCGCTAGCCATCCTGTCTGTTGTTCTGTCATCCTTGACTGAATAGGTGTCATCTATTTCCTACCAGACATAATACAAGATGATTAAAATAATATAAACAGGATGTTAATAATGTTCTTCTCTTCTCTGTACTACAGAAAGAATGTACATTTATTCAGAGTAGGTAATAGCATACTTAGAGATGCTAAGCATATATACTCCCACATAGAGAACAATAATTCATAGTATTTGATCAGCCCCCTCCCCTGCAATGCATGGGAAGTAGTTACAGGTAAGTAGAATAAGTGAATCTATGTGGTCCAAACTTAGAGTCATGGAAACATTGGAATGTGAGATGGCTTAGAAAGCATGAGAACATTAAGAGAGGTAGGAAAAGGTGCCTTACCTCAAAGCAATAGCTTAAAAGATTGCATATGGGCAAAAGTAAGCAAGGTATATTCAGAGAACAATGATGAGGCCAATGATTGTCTTGGATTGGTTAGTGGGACTAAGTATTAATTTGGAAGAGCAACCAGTACATAACATAGAGTCTAGATTTATTTCTTACTGACATTAAACACCCCATTGGAAGATCATGAGCAAAGGAAAATAAATTATGCGTAAGTACAAAGCTTAGCTACATAGAAATTCCCTGAAATTGTAAATTTGTTATAAAAGCACTTCACTTAACCAAAGGTCATATCCTCATCTAGACATGGTTGAGAAAACCAGAAGCAAGCAAAAAGCAGCCTTGAGTATTCAGGGGGAAAAAAAATCACAAAACCACACACTAAGGTCATCCAATTAACCATTAGAAAACTTTCAGACTTTCACTTAAATATCCAATTTCTTTCTTCACTGCAGATTAGAAGCAAGAAATTAAAAGGGGTAGCTTCGAGACTCGGTCATCTGACAGTTGTAATATGTGATAGCTGACAGAATGACAATGAAAAAGGAGGCAGAAAAAGTATTCGAAGCAGCTTTAAATCGAGAGATGTGGGTAATTATTTACCTGAAATTGAGATCAATTATCTCAGTAAAAAAATCTTCATTACATTAATACCTCATTTTCACTCTCTAATAATTTTGTTCCTGTAACAGAAATTCATATTGTACCATACTATCCAAAGAAGTATAGTTTAAAAACATGCCAAAAGGTCAACTTTTCTCTGATTTTCTGGCCAATTTCAAATATTACATCTTTTTTTGTATAATAGTTTCCAATTATAACATGTGGTTTTACTTACACTAGATATGTCTAATATTTGCTTCAAGAGAGCTCAGTGAAGGCTATTGTACAAATATAATGTCTTCCTTGTAATGCTATAATCACATATTTGCAGAAAAATAAAAAAAGTTCTAAATAAAAATGTTTAAAGGCATATGTAGTCTAAGAAAACATTTTTTTCTTTCTTTCTTTCTTGTTTTTAACCAGGCAGATTTCTTGCCATCACAATTCTCTTCTCATTGATTTCAAATAGCATACAAACTGGTCTAAGTGAACATATAAAAATGGAAATTGCTTCAAGGCTGAATATAATCCTGATATAGCAGTCATACTTTGTTGCATTTCTGTATTAACCATTAACCCACAAAAAACTGACAACCTTCTCAGGTCTAGGGTAGAATCTTGCATTGGTACCTTAGGCTGCCAGATCCATGTCCAAATGTGGCTGGAGAAACATGAGGATGGTGTCATGGTGTGAGAATCCTGGGCTCCTCTCTGGGGCAATGATGTGATGTCTAAAATTAATGAGAAATAACATAACCAATGCATTTTGAGTACTTATTATACCCAGACACTGTTCTAAGCTCGTTCCCCAAATTAACCTGTTTAGTTTTTTTAAAAGCCCGATTAGGCAGGACTATTATCAGTCCTACTCCAAATATGAGGCAGCCATGGCTGAAAGGTTATGTAACTTGGCCACATTACAAAGCTAGAAAGCAGAGTCTAAATTCAAAAGTATGTCCATCACATGAGAGCAATTTGGTACCTCAACTGGGATTTCCCCATTTATTTATTAATTATGGTACCTGTCAATGAAATACTAAGATTTGCTTTAAGACTGTAGAGCTGACATCATGCTGTAGCACAAGCATTTCCCTAATCAGCACTCTCCACTACTCCAGTTTTATGAAAAGGATAAATGACAGTAATGTAGAATTCCAAATAAAGCACTAGCAATCTGCATTTCACTTTCTGATCTTCAGGGATATGCCAGTAATTAATTTCATGGCCCACTCTTCAGCATTAACAGTGGTCCTCAATATGATTATTTACTTTTGTGGGAAGGCATGCATAGGCACATAACTGCTCTTGAGATTCAGTTTGTGGTCATCCCTACTGAGTTACTCAAGATTCTTTTGGTTGCAAAGGATATAACCCAATCCAACTAACTAAGCTAACCTAAAATGTTAAGGGTTTATTGTTGACCTCAGGTGAAGCTAGATCTAGGTGCTCAAAAATATAGTTCATATGTTCTTCACCTCCCAGCTTGCTTTCCCCTATGCTGCCTTCATTCTTAGGCTAACCTCAAGTGGCGTCAAGATGGCTACCAGCAAGTCTAGGCTTAGCCACCACATAAAACAAAAGACAGTGTTTCTTTCCCAGGGGCTCCAGCATAAAGTCCTAGAGTTATGTTCATGGCTGTGACTGGCCTGCTTAGGTCACAGGCCTACTCTTTAACTAGTCTTAATAGTCAAGACATATATTATACTCAACTGTCATGTACCAATGACTGGCTTCAGAGTGTGGTTTACCCCAGTAGTACCATGGGCCTTAACTGAATCAACAGAGCAGGGTCAATTCCCAAAGGAGTTGATTTTGCCTCAATGAAAGGAAACAGATGCTGTGCAGGGATAAACCACAGATTACTATTATATCCATCTTGGCATGCCAGAAGAATAAGTTGGCATCTTGTCATGTGACTTTGAGGAGATTTGGGGAATCTCCATTACCATGACTTCCCTGTGGTGAACTAATGTGTGGTGAGTCAAGGTAAGAGTAAGCCAAAGAATACTAACAAGGTCTCACTGAATCAAATCAATGAAGACTGTATAGACACAACAATAGCAGCAGAAAACGTAGAGGCTATGGCAATCAGAGATGATATGGTTACTTGGGCAAAGACAGCCTTTAACACAGAGAGTAGAGACATTGCTGCCAAAGAACTTTGCCACACAACAATCCACAGACCAAATTCACATAGATAATGCTTATTGTGAAAGTAACTGCAAGTCACACATGCATCAGCCTTTGTAGTCTTGCAAATACACAGAAAGCAATAGTGTCTGTCAGCAGTAGTATCTTTAAATGCAAAGAATGCTGCATGAAGATAAGATATGAAAGAGCTCCATTATTTTCCACATACATTATTCTAATTTGATTCAATTTCTCATGCTGCATAGGTTTTCATTCATTGAAAGTTGCAGTCACCCAGTTCAGACAGTTCTCTACTTATAAACACATTGCGTTAACATACTTCATTTGTAAGTCAGTGATTTTAAAGGTGAAGCTTATTTTTACATTGCAAATTTATTATAAATTGTAACTGGATTCTAAGACTAACCCATGAGTATTAATCAAGTCATTTGAATGTGCTTAGTACAATGCCTAGCACATTATAAACTCTTAATAGATTAAAGCTTTTATTAGTTATAAGCATGAGTAAAATCATCAAAATAATTTTTTAAATAAAAATACAAATTAAGGTAATAGCACTTAGAAAAATTACAGATTGGGACATTCAGTAAGGTAATATGAAAAACTAAGTCTTCAATTCCACTTAAATAAGGTATTTAATATATTTCAGTTTAAAGATTGTTTATTGTTACTAAAGAAGAATTTACAAAAGTGTTATACTATCTTTTAGAATATCATATTACTTAAATTATTATGTTTTAATTTTGGACTTCTATGTAGTTACAAAACTGAAATTTGGGAGTATAACTAGACCCATACAGATGGGAATAGTATTTAATAAATTGCTTTTTATTTACAAGAAATTTTCAGAACTTCTTTTTCCACATACTTATATCTGGATGCAGTTCCACTTATAAATTGAGGACACAGTATACTCCTATTACCAAAAAAAGAACTGTAATGGGGACACAGCCATAATCAAATTTACATCTTAATTATTTACAGTCTTCTCTTTGCAGCCTGAATATTCTGTGCTTCAGAGTTGTTTTGCAGACAAAATATCATCCAGGATTTGTACTGCAAACACTCTTTCGACACAGGCGACAAGTTCTTTTTGGTAACTTGCATAACTTCTCAGTAAAATAAACTTTAAGAATTAGTTCTACAGATCTATTATAGAATAATCTAATGCTAATTTCAATGTGTTTTCAATTATATAAATGCTAAAAATATCTCATCTCTATCACTTATCTGACCACTTTTGTTTTAGTGACAACTTTGGGGAGACTTAATTTTAAAAAATTAAAATTAATTTAAGAAATAAAAGTATAAGATCATGGGTATCTAAAAAATTTAATGAGCTAGCATTAATAAGACCACCTGATTAGGATTGGGCTGCTACTTTCCAAGTATCTGCCAAACAACGTGTCAAAAGAGATGGTGTAGACACATCAGGACTGAACTTTGCTTCATTTTTCTACTCAGTCAACAAGTAGTTTTTGAGTACCTAATAGGTATCAGGCATTTTTTTAGTTCTGGGGAGGCAAGAGTAAACAATCTGTGTCCCAGTCCTCTATGGAATTTACATACTTTATGACAAGGACACAATAAATTTTTCAGTACTTCTATTCTTCTGAGGGAGAAGAAAGCAGGGTGAGGGTAAGGTTGGGAAAGGGGGCAGTCATCAGGGAAGTCCTCTCCAAAGAAGTGACACCTGAGAAGAGACTTTAATGGGAACACAAACTATGCAAAAATCAGAGAGACAATAGAGAAGTGCAAAGACCCCAGGTGGGACAAGCTCACTGTGTTCAAAAAACATCAAGACCATGGTGGCTCCAACCAAGTGAGCAGACAAGAGAGGGAGTATGGTAGAAGATGAGGTCAGGGAGAGGGCCAGATCCTGTAGGACCTTGCAGATCATTTTAAGGAGGTTGGGATTACTTTAGCTGTGATGAGAAGGCGTAGGCTGGGAATGGGAGAGTGACATGATATGCACTTTGGAGAAGAGGTTCTACAGAGGCAAGAAATAGGGCATTTCAGCAATTTGGGCAAGGACTAATGTTCCTGCAATTTTGTAATATTGACTCTTTACTACCTAATTTTCAAGATGAAAAACAAAAATTGTTTTTGTGCAAATGGTATGTCGGGAACAAAAAATTAGCTGTTTAATCTTTGTGGGGTGGTACAAAGGCAGCTGGAATAAAATGTCTGTTTTATATTAACTGTAGGGAAACTGCTTACCTCAACTGCCAATTTACTGAGGATCTCTGTGGATGTTAAATCAGAGAAGAGTGCGAAAGGTAAGAATATCTGGAAACACATCTACCACTTTGTCTTCCATCCCCTCCCGCTGTTGACAGCCTGACTTGGGTGCTGCTATAAATCAAAAAGCAGGAGATGCACTGCAAGCACTGAACATCTTCCAAAGTAAAATGCTGCCATCTGGAGGTTTCCAGAGTACAAAAATTATGCCAAAAAAAAAAAAAAAAAAAAAAAAAAGCCAACAAATCCCACAAACACTCTGTTTCTGTTTGGTGTTTCTATATGCAAGGGATTTTATTGAGAAAAAAAGTTTAAAAGGTCATTAATTCAAAAGAAACAAGAATGAAATTGCCCAGTCTCACTCCCTTGCTTTGCCTGGCCCAATTTATGAAGTGGAACTTGTTTATGTTGGTTTTGAAACCTTTCTATTTATTAGGCTGTAAATTTATTATACAAAATTTGCATAGTATGAAAGTTTGTATTCATTTCTTTTCCCTCTATAGCAACTAAGGCTAAGTGCCTCTTCAAATGGTATATCTTCTCTGTCTCTTCCATGATTACTGATCTATTCAGGTTTTCTATGTATTCCATTTTGATAATTTATATTTTTCTGGGAAAATATTCATTTCTTCCATATTTTTAATATATTGTCATAGAGTTGCAAATAATATTCCTCCATAAAATATTTTGTCTCTTATCTACCCACAGTTCCATATAACTTTTTATCTTTAATATTATATCCTTTTACTTTTCTCTTTTATTGTAGGGTGATGAGCAGGAGAATGACATATTTGGACTATGTCCCAGAGAGATAACACTGATGATAATGAATATAATGGACTGAAACAGAACACTAGGAACACTGTTTAGAAGGCAACTATAACATCTCAGATTAGTGATCACTGACATCTGAACCATGGAAAAGATTTTATAAACTAAAACTAGTAGGAATTTCTGACCAGTGATGTGTTTATAAGACAAACAAAAAAAAGTTAGCATGATGCTATAGTTTCCTGCCTAGGATGATGGGGACATTCATAACCAAAGGGCAGAGAAAAAATAATTTTTTGAGGGGACATTTGACTTTGAGGTGTTGGAAGGATAGCCATATGAAAATGTCCCATCAGCTGGAGCTAGAAATATAAGTCAAAGCTAGAAGTTGCAGATGAAGTTCTGAGATAGGCTGAAAAAAAAATGTAGAGAGAGAAAAAAATGAGTGTATTAAGATGTCAATAACTGAAAACTTTTTGTAAAGCTTTACATTTTGGGGCAGCTGAACAAAATCAGGGAGCATATTACAGAAGCCAAAGGAGAAGAGAATTTTAAGAAGGAGAAGGTT